TACTGCACCCTAACCACTGAACCACCTCGGCTCTTCGTATCAGGGATATTCAACAAAGGCCCACGACCACTTTGAGCCTCCACCCGGCCTGTCCCACGTCAGCCGGCCAATCAAACCTCACGTGCTCAGAAGCTTCCAATGTGGCTCCCAGCCCACAGGTGGGACTCGGCGTCAGCAGGGCTTTGCCAGGGGAGGAAATTCCCCACCGCCGAGGGGAGTCTTGCAGGGGGGCTGATCCGAATCACCAGGGCCTTCCAACCACACCCCTTCTCTCCCCAGGGTTCCTCAGCACAAACCCTCCTGAAAACCTTCCCTCCTTTCTCTCTGCTTCAGGTACCCCTCAAAGGTGCTTCAGCTACCAGGAGGAAGCAGGGAGCCCAGATCAGGCGACCCTCCCTGCTGGGTGCAGAGCAGAGAAGGTCCCACATTGGTTGGGAACTGCTAACCGTCGTAGCTGAAGGGCGCTTACGGGCCCGTGCTCCTCCCACCTGCCTTGGCCTCACCTGCCGAGGCCGCCTTCCCCCAAGTCAAAGGAGAAGGGAGAAGGTGCCCACCTGGCGCATCAGCTCGGGGTTGTTCAGCATGTGGGTGATTTCCGGGTTCCGTTCCATCAGCTGCTGCATCTGGGGGTTGGCCGTGATCATCCGCCTCATGAAGTCTGGGTTGGACATCATGCTCTGGACCAAGGGGTTCTCCATGATCTGGGACAGCATCTCCGGGCTGGACATCAGCTGCCGCTGCATCTGCTGCTGAAGCTCCATGAAGTTTGCTGAGCCCATCCCCAGGTGGCCAAGCCCAGCAACGCCACCAAAGCCGGCTGGGAGAGGACAGGCAGAAAAGGGAGAGCAGCTCAGACAGAGGCCTCCAAGGAAGGAAGCAGCGGTCAAATCTTCGGCTTGGCTCCTTGCCATCAGCATTTAGGGGATGGGGGACAAATGGGCAAGAAACATGATGGGACATAGTGGGGGGGCGCATAACAGGTTGAGGAAGACCAGAGAGGCGTGGAACCAGTTTGTGCCAACATCCCTCCGAGTGGAATATAGATTGTTCCAAACTTCTCAGCGATTCTCCAAACACCTCTGCGGCTCTCTGGAGGCTGGAGATGAACCGGTCAAGGCAGGGAGGGGAGGGCAAGAGGAGGGGAAATGTGTAACCTTTCACGTAGGAATCTTACTTCTTCCTTGACTTCACTACAGCCAGCAACTTTTAGTAAAAGAACTCTCACTTCACCCAAACGGAGTCGAGGGTCTCTCTTTCCTAAGGGATCAGGCTGTGGGAGGTCTGACGACCCACATCTGGCCTGGAACAGAACTTAAGGAGAAGCAGGAAAACTGCCTCTCAAACTTTAGCTGTCTGTCCATCATTCCTGTCTGCAGGTATTTGAAAGCCCGTCCCTCATCGTTCTTTTGCCTGAATGGACTCGGCCCCAGGGCCACTTGACAACTCAGACCCCCCCCATCCCCCAAGAAACAGCGTCCGCCTCCCTGAGCTGCTTCCTAAGAGCCCTGCGGGTCAAGAGAGTTCTTACTTACTCAGGATGGAGGTGGCGCCGCTGGGCGTCCCTTCCCCAGCTGGCCCTGGCGTGGCTCCCAACGCGCTGCTCCTCCAGCTGCTGTTTCCCACGTCTGGAAGGCTGCTGCTGGACGTGGATGGCTGGGAGGGGGCTGCAGGGGACGCAGGAGCTGCAGGGGGGCTCAGAACTACCCCGGTGGCAGGCAAAGCAGTGGCGGAGGGGACAGGGAGGGAAGCCGCCGTCACCCCGGGAGGTTCTTGCACCCTGCAAACCAAGCGAGACATGAGCATCGCCCCTGGGGAGGCAGCCACTGCCTGAAGGTGGGCAGGGTGGGCAAGATATCCCAACTGGGGAGTCCAATCAGGGGAGTTAAGGGTCGAACGCTTGTCAGGCGGCTTTGCTGCTCTCTGAGCTCGGCTGTTTCCTTGCGGGTGTTTCATTACCCAAACTAGGTAACACCATCTTAGCTCTGCGTTTATATCCCTTCCCAAGGGAAAGCTGGCAACCTGTGAAGCAACGGATGGAAACTAACCGAGGAGAGAAGCAACCTGGACCTAAGGAGGGATTTCCTGGCAGGGAGAACAATTGATCAATGGAACCGCTCCATCGCGCAAAGGCTTTTAAGGACAGCCACTTGTCTGGAATGTTCCCCTGCTTGAGTGGAGGGCTGGACTAGACCGCCTCCCAGGGCCCTCCCAGCTCTCGGGTTCTCCTGCTGTCCTTGCCAACCGGTGACCAGCAATAAAGAACCAGGGAGTCTCCTGGCTGCTTGTGCCCGGCAGGCAGGAACGGCGGCCCAGGCTGGCCCTCCCTGCAAAGGAGCCTCAGTCCCCCCTTAATGCCCCCATCGGAGGCCCAGAAGCCCCTGAAAGGCAAGGACCCCCCTCGCACCCCACCCATCAGGGGGCCTGATTCGCACCACCGGCCAGGCGAAGCCGGGTCTCCCCCCCCAGCGCCCCCCCCTCCGCTGAGCCGCGTGCCCGAGGGAAGCCCCTCCCCCCTCACTTCTGGGGGGTCTTGATGACCAGGTGGACCGTCAGTCCGTCCTTCACGCCGTGCTGGAGGAGGGAGTCGCCGTCCTTCAGGATCTTCCCCGCGAAGATCAGCACCAGCTGCTCCTGCTTGGCCTTGAAGCGCCGCGAAATCTCCTCCTTGAACTGGGGGGGANCCACCCCCCCACCGCCTACCTGAGAGTTGGCACTGGACAGGAGCTGCACCATGTGCTGCATGAGCTGCTGGGAGGGGTTGCTGTCTCCAGCTGGGGAGGTGCTGGGCAGGGGGGGGTCCAGGACTGCAGTTCCTCCGGCGGACGGTGGGGGCGGCTGGGGGGTCCCCAGAGAGCCCAGACTGCAAGGCAAGGAGACCTTTCTGAAGTGAAGGAGCCGGGCAGAAAGCGGCAGGGAGGTTCCTCTCGCAGCCACCAGAAAGGCAGCACTTTGGCACGCCCCCCCCCCCCCCCCCGCCTCTTGGTACCTGGGCACGAGGCCCGGGGCCTCCGTCTGCAGCATCTGGAGCCCCTGCTGGATCTGCAGCAGAGCCTGCATGGCGCGAGGATTCGTCAGCACCGAGAGCGAGTCAGGGTTCTGCATCTGGGGGCACAACCAAGAGCCACAGGGGGACCCTCAGACCAAAGCGGGGGGGGTGGGGGCTGGCTCTCCTCGGGGGGGGGGAGACTGTCTCTACTCCAGACTCAAATCTGCAGCCCCCCCCCCCGCTTTCCCCCCCAGGCGCACCTGCTGGAGGAAGGCGGGCAGCTGAAGGCGCAGCTGCTCCTGCAGGGAGGGGTTGCCAGCAAAGACCGGGGCGTTGACCATCATCTGCAAGGAAACAGGGCAGCCAGGCTCAGTGGGCGGAGGCCGAGCCACTCTCCGACCTGGCAATGAGGGCGAATATCTGTGGAGGATTTGTCCTCCGAGCTTGTGGGTCGGTTTGCGAGCGTTTGAATCAGCTGCTGGTAGGTGAATGTGTCCATCTCCCCCACCGACCGCCAACAGCAGCCCCTCAATTGGAGCAGCAGCAAAGCCTCGGCCAGGCTGCCACCCGCCCCACTCGAGGGGGTCCTTTCATCAAAGCCCGGCCCTACAACCAGCCTTCGAACCCTTCAGAAGCCAACCTCAGAGGCTCCGAGCCCCCAACCGACCCACGCAAGCCCCCCGCCCCCCTCACCCCCCACCCGCAGTTCAGCTCCCAATGGCCCCGATGTAACCTCCCCATCACCAGACTCTCCCTGACGACTCCCACCTGACTCCGCCCAAGACCCTCCCTTGACACCCCCGAGCCCTTCTGAGCAGAAGCCCACCGGCACGGGCACCCCCCGAACCCCACGGAAGATATGCCATCTAGTCTGGTAATGAAACGCTGGGAAACCAGCCCACAAGCAAGGAGAAGGAACCTCCCCCCTTCCTCAAGTACCCCCAGAATACGCCCCCACGGGAGACCACATTCCACAGGCAATAATCTATTATGACACAGAGTCCTCGTTTAGCAACCACACTTTAAGTGAAGCCGAGTGAAACCTCCTGACTTCAGGCTTCCTTTGCCTTAGAGGCCTTCGGAGGTCGTAAATATGAGGATTGGCTGCAAAATTACTTTTTCACCGCCACCATAACTGTGAAGAGCCACTAAGCGAGGACCCCCTGTATTTACCTGAAGGAAACCAGGCTGCAAATGCACCGGAGGGGCAACTGGGCCAGAGACTCAAGAGCCTCTCTCTAGCTCTTAACGGTGGTCTAGCAAAGGAGACCCCGGGGGTCTCTCACCGCCCCCCCAGCCAGGTGCGAAAAGAGCCACACTCACCTGAGCGGCAACCTCTGGGTTCTGGGCGAGGGTCTGCAACATCGTGCGCATGTAAGGAGCCGAAATCACGCTCTGCATCAGCTGAGGGTTCTCGGAGACCTGCTGGAGGAGCCCCTGCATCTCGGGGCTGCTGAACATCCCTGCGGGGTTGGGGGAGGAGGGGGGGGGGCGAAAGGGACATTCACCGACAGCCGTGATGGGGAGCCTGTGGCACGCATGCCGGAAGTGGCATCTCTCTGGGCACGTGAGCTGTCAACCATTGCTCTTCACTTGTGCCCCAGAAGAGTTTTGCCCACACTGATCGATAGGGAACCATAGCAAGCCCCCCCCTCCCCCAAGCCCCCCTTACTTTAAAAAAAGGGAAGAACAGAAGCGATTTAGGGGGAAAGAGATGGATGTTTACGTCATGCCCATCTGCGAAAGACACGGAAGGCGCAGAGGAAAAGGCCTCCGGGGTTCCTGTCCTTTGCAGGATGATTATCAGCCCCCCTTGAATCGGAAGCCCCCAATCCCAGGAAGAGAAAGGAACAGTACAGAAAGTGGGGCAGGACGGGGGCAGCCTTAGGGGCCGAGTTCTGTGGGGAGGATGAGTGTTTCTCTAGAAACAGGGACACCTCAGGAATTTCACTAGTTCTCATCTCCGTGCAGCCCCCTCCCCACACCAGCTCAATAGCCAGGCGTGGGGCTTTCGGTTCCCAGCAGCCACGGCCGGAGTTGGTGTGGCAGCTCGTCCGCCCACCCATCAACGCTGCTTTGCCCAAACTGCCCTGAGTTTCCCTTTGAAAATCCAGGGTTCCTACTTAATTTGCCTCCCAGGTGCAACGCATGGAAAGCATCAACTCACAAGGCAGCAGGGACCCTCGGCGCTCGAGGGCCGGTGGAGCCCAAGGGCCCCCTCTGAAGGAAAGCGGGTGGCCCTGAGCCGGAGAGGCTGGCGAGGCTGGCAAAGCAGGGACGGCCGTACCTGATCCCAAAGCAGCTGCGTTGATGCCCAGAGGGTTGGAGACGGTGGGGGTGCTCCGGCTGGGGACGGGCTCAGGGCTGCCTCCGTTCTCCGCCTCCTGAGAAGCAGCACCAGGATTCCAAGGGTTGGGCAACGGCTCCCGGTTCTCCGTCCGCAGAGGCTGCGCGTTGGCGGCGTCCGAACTCCCAGAGAGGGCCGAGAAGGGGTTGTTGCCAAACTAGAAAGAGAAGCCAGTGGCAAAAGGACCTTCCCCACCTGCGGCTGCCTGGACACGGAGGGGGCGGGGGGAGGGCTGCAGATCAACTCATGTCAGGGGGGTGGGCTAAGCTGACCTGGGGCCTCTCGGGGATCCCCAGAAGCAGCACGGAGGGGAGCCCTCCAGAAGCCTGGCTGCTCACAAAGCCGCCGTAATCCTGAAGGCTACTCGGGGTTCTGCTACATCGGACTGGGTCTTCCTTACAACCCACATTTGAGCCAAGAAAGCCCCCAGGACTTCCACCCGGTTCACCGTCAAAACCGCACTCGACTGAACCGCGCCCGACTAAACCGTGTNCGGATCTGCTCCATCTTCGGTTTTTTCACAGGGGGCAGGGCTGCCGCTGAAGATGCCAACGAGCCCCCGCCACCACCAGAATAACTGCTGCTGCCGCCTCCTCCTCCTCCTCCAACAGCATCACCACATTTGCTGCCCGGTGCTGCGACTGAGGTGAAGCCGCCAAAGCTCCCACTGGTGCCCCCGCCTGTGGCAACAGCAGTGGTGCCTCCCCCTCCGCTCGGAGCACCTCAGCTGGGCTCCGCGTTACCCCTGCCACCTCCTCCTCCGCCGTGCTTTTGAGAAGCCCTGAGGCCTTTTTTCCTGCTCCCGCCCCCTCCGCCGCCTTCCTACTGGCTCCCGCGGCCTCAGGGCTCCTCAAAAGCATGGCGGAGGAGGAGGGGTAACACGGGGCCCAGCTTAGGTGCTCCGAGGGGAGGGGGAGGCACCACTGCCACGGGCGGGGGTTCCAGCGGGAGCTTTGGCCGCAGCATCGGGCAGCAAATCCGGCAGTGCTGTTGGAGGTGGAGGAGGCAGCAGCAGATATTCCGGTGGTGGCGGGGGCTTTGGGGGTTCACTTCAGCCGGAGCCCCGGGCGCAAGCGGCTAAGACTGGCCGCCCACAAAGGACTTCCCCGCGCTTGCTTTGCTGAAAACGGGGCGACTGACGGTAATGAGCAGCGCAGCCTAGGAGGTCCTAGGAGACCAGCTGTGCCGCGTAAGCTCCTGCTGCCGTCTCCGCGCCCCTGCTAACCCTAGATTTTCTGAGGCCCCCCTCAGCTTCCGGAGCCTGTGACAGAAACCACTGCGCGGCAGTTAGAAACTGCTGCGCTGTGTTTTGTTGCCACGTGTGTGGCTGCTTCCACCTTAGAGGGAACATTGCCAGCGTTCCCGGAAGTTAATTACTTCTGGGTTCACCGACCGGCAGGAACCCACCCCTGGCCTACACCATATTAGACTAAAATATGGTTAGCCATTCCATGGTTTAAAATTTCCTGCAGGAACCTTTAGAGTAGCCGTCCTCTCTCTCTCTCTCCCCAGCCGCAAGGGAGCCTCTCATGAGAGCAGAGCTCTTCCCCGGGGCTACTTTGGCAGCTGAGCCGAGGCTGCAGGGCTTTCTTGCCAGGTCCAACGTTCTCCCTTCTCTCCGCAGGCTCAGGCCCTGGTGCAGTACCTTGAAGAACCCCTGACCCAGGTGGCCGCTTCCTGATGGGACCCGACTGAGCCTGGGAGCCTCCCAGCCGACCACGAAGGACGCTGAGCACCATGTGCTTCTTTCGGACACGGGGGAGGGGAGGGGGAATGGGAGAATAAAGGACGTCCTTAGCAGCCTTTCTCTGCCTGATGGATGGATGGATGGGATGACCCCAAGGGCGGCCCTGCTGCCCACAGCCGTCCGAAGGGAGAAGGGGGCAGTCAGGAACCACTGGAGCTGTCATTCCAGAAAGGGGAGAGGGGCGCCTGGCACGGCAGAAGGGAATGACGCATTCAGGGAATGGCCCAAGGGCATTTACCTGGGAGCACAGGTGGTCCTAGGCTTACGGCTAGTCATTCGGCTCTTCATTCAGCCAATGCTGCAACATTACTGAAAAGGAGGCGGGGTCTTTGCAGGATCCCCACATGGGGGTCACCTGATCCTCATTTGCCTCCTTCCCAGCCGGCTTCTGACATGCAAAGCCAGTGGGCAAAGATGGATTCCCTTAACAACCCCATGAGCTCCTCCTCTCTGAGAGGGTTCGGTGGTTACGATTCACTTAAGAACTGCAGAGCTTTGCTTAACAGCCCTGGCAAAAAAAGTCATTAAACTCAGGCGTGACTCGCTTAACAACCTCCTTGCTTAGCCCTGGGAATTGTGGCCATAGGTCAGGGACTAAATCCGGGGGGAAGGGCAGGAGCCCCACTTTCGCTGGGCTTCCCAAGTCAGAAGGCAGTACTCAAGGCCTCCGCTTGGTGTCGCCCAAGACTCGGGGAGAGGGTGCCACCCCTGGCTGGTCTTGCTTTGATTCCAGACCCTCCCAGCCTCTTCACCGCTGGCGCTGGGCATCTCTCGGGTCAGGTGACCCTTTTCCAAGGGAGGGGCTGGTGCTGTGCCTTGGGAAAGGCCAGAAGGGGGGAGTCCAATGTGTGTGATTTGGGAGGGGGGGCTGTTGGCCTTTCCTAAAGTTGTGCTTGCGGATTGGACCACTTCCCTCAACCGGCCCTACAAAGAGGGGCTGAATTCTCCCATCCCTGATTCTCTGCCCTGCAGGCCTCCTCCTGAACGGCCGCTCTCCATGTGGGGTATCAGGGTGGCTCCGGTCTGTTGCAGGGAGAGGCCCAGGTGGGAGGGAGTTTCAGGAGCCTTCGAGTGCCAAGACTTTGGGTGGGAAGCCACACCTGCCGCCACGCCTTCCTCCCATAAGGTCTATTGTGCCACTCTTCTGAGTCACCTCACGGGGGCCCTTCCTATCACCCGGAAGCCTCGGCTGCCAACTCTCGAAGCTGGGAAAGGCGTGCGAAAGGTCTCGGCTGGAGCTTCTGACTGACCCGAGACGTTGGAAGAGCTTTCCAGGCCTCTCCTGCACTACCCAGAAACCTCGCCCAGCGCCTGAAAGGCACAAAGCAGAGCAGTTGAATCATTGTCAATCACCCGAAGGAAAGAATTGAGGCCATTCAGTGAATCCAGAGAAGCCCTTAAAACATCAAGGAAGAGGGGATTGTCCTCCTTATGTGGTTGGCAATGAAGGTTTTCAAACTTCCCAATGTAAGATTAGGTATAGAATTTCCTAAAACTGGATGACCAGCCTTCTGCTTCCACACAGCATCTCAAAGTGCTTTACAATAATGCCAGGAAGGAGAGAGGCCTTTGTGCTCGAGGTGGAAAAAGATGAAACTTTTGACTTATCAGTGGTTCCCAAACTAGCTGGCTGGAGAATTCTGGGAGTTGAAGTCCACAAGTCTTAAAGCTGCCAAGTTTGGGAACCACTGGATTAGATGGATATGTTGTTACAGAAATGGCTAGTTTCTATTACGATTATGAAAAAGTAAAACGTTGAGCGTGGATCTTAACGCCTTATTCAACTGCGCCAAAAGAGTCGGAAGTCAATGTCTTTTTTTCCCCTTTTTCCCTTCCTTTCCCCCATTACTCACTTCCTTTTTTCCTTCCCTAATTTCCCTAATACTTGCCTTTGTATTTTCTTTGTATGTTATATTATAAACTAATAAAACCAGATACATAAAAAAATGCTAGGAAAGATAAGACAATGACAGTGGGAAATGAAAGCCAAGAAGCATCTCCTACAGACACCTGCAGAAACGTGGGAACAGCCTGGCACCCCCTTCTCCGTGCTCAGCCTGGCGTTGGCCTATTTAGGGGGGGGGGGCACCCAGAAGTGTGTGCAGGAGACTGGCTGTCACTCCAGCTGAAGTTGCATGTTGATGTTCTTGGCCAGCAACGTCACTCAGCTTTTCAGAGAAATGGCTCTGCTCACTGCTCTTCCCTGGGTGCCTATTCTGCAAGCCCCCCCCCCCCCCAATTCTTTCCCTAGCACATGATGCTGAGTCCTGGAACTGGGACCTGCCCATTCCAAAGTCTTGCAGCTTCTCAGTCAATTGGCTCTCTTAACCCTAACCCTAACGCTAAACCTAACCCTAAACCTAACCCTTACCTTAACTTAAATCGCCCCTCTGTCGACTGAAATCGCCCTTCTGTCTCCGCGCTGTTGTCGCTGCGTTGTCGGTGCGTTGATGACGTCGCGGTTTTAGCAACATGGTTTAGTCGGCGCGGTTTTGTCGTTCACCCTTTTGTCGGGTCACGAGGCACATATCACCCCTAACAGCCAGCAGGGTTGACTCTGTCCCAGCTCCAGGCCCCCTGCAGATCTCCGAGAGTCTCCGCCCGGAGTCCTAAATGGGCCTTTGGACCACACAGTTAAGCTTAGCTTAACTAGATGGCAACCTTGGGAAGCCCTGGTCTCCAAAGAGGGTGCTTTGGGAGGGGCCACCTATGGCCTGTGGACACGGGGGTCACTTCCACCAAACCTCCCACCACTTGGGGTCTTAGATCTCAGTTCTCATCCGCCATGGATGGTCTGAGCTGTGGCAGAAAACACTGGGAATTGTAGGAGGTGCTGGCCTGCTCTCTTCTTACCAATCGCACGAGTACCAGTCCTTCATTTCAGGCTGAGGGGAACAAATCAAAGTAGCCAACGGTTCCTTAGTTTGTAGGGATGAAGAACCCCAACTCTCCACCATGTGCCAAAGCTTTCTAAAAGGCCACATGTGGCCCCTGTTTGGGCAAACTGCACCGACTATCCAGAGACTTCCAGATTAAATCCAGGGTGCATGTTTTGTCCTTTAAATCCCTCAAAGTTTGGGTGCCGCCTCTTTGGCTTCCCAAAGGATTGTAACCTGGGCTCATCCTCCAAGGATTTCCTGGGTGTGGGGGGGCTGTCCCAGGAGAGGCCCCGCGCGCAATCAGTAACAGCTTTTCCAGTAGCTGCTGAATCCTCTCACTTTGCATGTTCACACCACTTTCCAGGGGAAATTCAAACTCTTCTCTCCTTGATGTCATCTCAAAAAATCCCACTCAGAATAGGGAAAAATTATGCTTGTTCTTAGCCCCAAAGTGATAAAATAGCAATAGTCTTCCATAACGCTTGACGGGGCTTTACAGCCCTCTCCGAGAGGTTTACAGAGCCAGCCTCTTGCCCCCAACAATCTGGCTCATTTTACGGTTCTTGGAAGGACGGAAGGCTGCGTCAACCTTGAGCCTGGTGAGATTCGAACTGCTAAATTACAGGCAGCGGGCAGGCAGCAGAATACTGCAATACTGCATTCTCACCACTGCACCCCCACAGCTCTTGAAATGATATTTAGAGCAGTGTTTCTCAACCTTGGCAATTTGAAGATGTCCGGACTTCAACTCCCAGAATTCCCCAGCCAGCGAATGCTGGCTGGGGAATTCTGGGA